TGTTAGAGAAGCTAGAAAATTGTTTGATGATGTTTTATTAAGAAGAGATAGAGCTGAAAAAACTAGAAATGCCTTAAATGTTTTATCTAGGTTTAGATTTCTTTTTTGTTTGCCATGTATTATAGACCGTCATATGCAAAAACAAGATTATGATATTATTATAAATGACTATATGAGAGTCAAAAATTTATTTAATAGAACTGAAGTGCCTGTGAGTCATTTCTCACTTTTAATGGAACTTATAATATACTCTAATTGATTTTAGGTCTTCAAAACTGCTTTATATGAAACAGAGAAACGTATAATGGCATTACAAAAAATGTTACATGACAATTTACAAAAAATGCCTATTAGTATAGAAGAACAAAAAAGATTAATAAGATATTTAATTAATCTTGATGCACCTTATGAACCTGCTTGGGATGCTATACAAAGTCATGTTAATTATATTAATTTGCGTTTTAAAGAATGCTATGATGAACATAAATCTGCAGAAGCAGTTTTAGCTCAAGAACTTGGTAAATATTTCTTACTTTGTATTTTATGATTTACAGAGGATTACATATTTTTATTTCAAGCAAAACTAAAGAATTCTCATTCTTCTTCCAAGTTTAATAAGTACAATATACAAACGCAAGACACATTAAATTGTATCCCAGAAAATGTACTGTTTATAGAAGACCTTTGCGATATTTTATCACAACTGTTTCCAAATCTTTGGAAACTAGGACATTCATATTTTACAGGGGAACTTCTTCATGTAAAAATTGAACCCGGCAAACAAGTTGCTTTTAAGGTTTACAATTTTATTTATTTTTATTAACTAGTTTTGTAGTACACGCATTTCTTATAGCACGTTGTATTGACAATAATAGAAACATTTTGTAAAATGTTAAGAGCTGCAGTAATACCTCATACCTTAGATAAAAATGTTGACAAAAGTACTGTTGGCTCTTGGTCAGTAAAAGACATAAATATTATAGCACTTTGGTTGCCAAATATTTTACGCCATGTGCGGTCTTCATATAACATTTTAATTAAACTGGATCTTCCCAATGAAGCCTTAAATATTGTATCCGATTTAATTTTGGACCTGAAAATATTTTGTATGTCTGTTCTATTCAAACAAGCAACTGAGCAAGTTAGACAGCTACAGAAACAAGAGGACTGGAAAATAGAATTCAATGGGGTCACTGGATTGGTACTTTTTAAAAGACATTTGCTTTACATATGAAATAATTTAATTAATTTTAGCCACTGAAATATGAACAGCATCTTCAGAATGTAGTGCAGTTGGTAAAAGAGTCAGTATTAATAAGTGAGCAAAAAGAAGCATCATTATCAGAAAGTCCAGTTGCCCAAAAAGAATTAGAGAAAAACGTAGAATCACTATTTCTTGTATTTTATGACGTTTTAAAAAATTTAACATTTCAAAACGAAAATGGTGAAGAAGAGGGTTGTACAGCCGTGGTGTCCCAACTTATAGGAACCCCTGTATCTGCTTACAGAAATTATGGATCAACAAAAGAAGTACTTTTGTGGGAACATAAACTTTTAAAAGTTTTGGCAAACTGTCAATATATGACCAATACTGTATTGAATAATATTTTTGAGCTTTTTAACAAGTCTGGGATTGCGATGTCTAGAGCGTCAATAGAGAAAATAATGAATAAATTTTCGGTTTTAGAGAAGACTGTTTTAGAAACATATTTAGAGCAAAAAAGTGATCCATTAGTTGGTACCATAGAACCCTCGATGTATTTAGGAAAATTCGATTGGGACTGCGTCAATCCGGTTTCTTTAATATTAGACTATAATAAAAATAAAAACGTCAAAAGTCATCTGTGAGTCAAAAGTGTGAGACATATAGATAACCACAAAAAAATGTTATATAAAATAATATGGGGATGTTGTTTTGAAGAATATTTTACCCAGATTTTTTTTTAAATATGTATTGGTTTAATTAATCGTAAGCCTTGCACTGTTGATGTTCGTACTTATTCAGTTACTATTGTCATGGCGCCGCCCCCAATAGTAACAGGATTATCCCCAAATGAAGGGCCCCCTGGTACAAAGATAATTATAAGAGGAGAAAATTTTGGGACAAAGCCCACAGACTTAATAGGTATTATATCAAAAATATACTGATCTTGTAATTTATAATATGAGTAAATTAAAGGATTGACAATTTGTGGCTGTGATTGTTTACTATCGGCAGAATGGAAATCACCTAACAAAATTATAGCTAGATCTGGGCCAGGGAAAGGAAAAGGGGATGTTATTGTAACAACTAGGCTTGGAGGAATTGGATCATGTAATGTTACTTTTAAAGGTTGGTCTTCCATTACAATATGAGTGTTTTTTTCTTTATTTGTTCATTGTATTTTAAAGGATACCATGAAACAGTGGGTCCAATGAAAGAAAGTGCTGTTTGGGTTGAAAAAACCCCTTTATTTGTTTGGGGTAGGAATTCTCTATCTTCTAATACATTTCAACAAGAAGATCCCTTAGGTTTATCTGAAGAAGGAAATGAAAAGAAAATTTCAGAAGATGATCTTATGGAATTATTTCCAAATCTCTCGGGTGATATTACATCAGAAAATTTTTCTCCAGGATGGTTTCTTCTTGAGAACCATCAGTGTACCTCTTTTAATGATTTACAGGCAGGGTAGGTAAAAACCTTGTAGTAGTGAATAAATAATAGAGATAATTTCCTAGCTTGTTACATTTGAGACGAAAGGTCGAAAACCAAAAGGAAGGGCAGTTATCATTTTTAAAAGCAAATGTTGGTTCAGTAATGGATCAGATTGATACAATGGATAGATTGAAACAGAGCTTTGAGAATGATGTTACAAAGTATGGTACAGAACCAACTCATAAACTTGAGAAATCTATAAAAGGTAAATAAAATATATAGCAAAATATTAAAATAAAAAGGTCCAATTTCAGAGTCTGTTAGAGAAGCTAGAAAATTGTTTGATGATGTTTTATTAAGAAGAGATAGAGCTGAAAAAACTAGAAATGCCTTAAATGTTTTATCTAGGTTTAGATTTCTTTTTTGTTTGCCATGTATTATAGACCGTCATATGCAAAAACAAGATTATGATATTATTATAAATGACTATATGAGAGTCAAAAATTTATTTAATAGAACTGAAGTGCCTGTGAGTCATTTCTCACTTTTAATGGAACTTATAATATACTCTAATTGATTTTAGGTCTTCAAAACTGCTTTATATGAAACAGAGAAACGTATAATGGCATTACAAAAAATGTTACATGACAATTTACAAAAAATGCCTATTAGTATAGAAGAACAAAAAAGATTAATAAGATATTTAATTAATCTTGATGCACCTTATGAACCTGCTTGGGATGCTATACAAAGTCATGTTAATTATATTAATTTGCGTTTTAAAGAATGCTATGATGAACATAAATCTGCAGAAGCAGTTTTAGCTCAAGAACTTGGTAAATATTTCTTACTTTGTATTTTATGATTTACAGAGGATTACATATTTTTATTTCAAGCAAAACTAAAGAATTCTCATTCTTCTTCCAAGTTTAATAAGTACAATATACAAACGCAAGACACATTAAATTGTATCCCAGAAAATGTACTGTTTATAGAAGACCTTTGCGATATTTTATCACAACTGTTTCCAAATCTTTGGAAACTAGGACATTCATATTTTACAGGGGAACTTCTTCATGTAAAAATTGAACCCGGCAAACAAGTTGCTTTTAAGGTTTACAATTTTATTTATTTTTATTAACTAGTTTTGTAGTACACGCATTTCTTATAGCACGTTGTATTGACAATAATAGAAACATTTTGTAAAATGTTAAGAGCTGCAGTAATACCTCATACCTTAGATAAAAATGTTGACAAAAGTACTGTTGGCTCTTGGTCAGTAAAAGACATAAATATTATAGCACTTTGGTTGCCAAATATTTTACGCCATGTGCGGTCTTCATATAACATTTTAATTAAACTGGATCTTCCCAATGAAGCCTTAAATATTGTATCCGATTTAATTTTGGACCTGAAAATATTTTGTATGTCTGTTCTATTCAAACAAGCAACTGAGCAAGTTAGACAGCTACAGAAACAAGAGGACTGGAAAATAGAATTCAATGGGGTCACTGGATTGGTACTTTTTAAAAGACATTTGCTTTACATATGAAATAATTTAATTAATTTTAGCCACTGAAATATGAACAGCATCTTCAGAATGTAGTGCAGTTGGTAAAAGAGTCAGTATTAATAAGTGAGCAAAAAGAAGCATCATTATCAGAAAGTCCAGTTGCCCAAAAAGAATTAGAGAAAAACGTAGAATCACTATTTCTTGTATTTTATGACGTTTTAAAAAATTTAACATTTCAAAACGAAAATGGTGAAGAAGAGGGTTGTACAGCCGTGGTGTCCCAACTTATAGGAACCCCTGTATCTGCTTACAGAAATTATGGATCAACAAAAGAAGTACTTTTGTGGGAACATAAACTTTTAAAAGTTTTGGCAAACTGTCAATATATGACCAATACTGTATTGAATAATATTTTTGAGCTTTTTAACAAGTCTGGGATTGCGATGTCTAGAGCGTCAATAGAGAAAATAATGAATAAATTTTCGGTTTTAGAGAAGACTGTTTTAGAAACATATTTAGAGCAAAAAAGTGATCCATTAGTTGGTACCATAGAACCCTCGATGTATTTAGGAAAATTCGATTGGGACTGCGTCAATATTGTTACTGATATTAAGCCATATGCAAAAGAATGTCTTAATAATGTTATACATGTACATAGTGAGGTAATAATTAATGTTTCAAAAAAAAAAATAAGGTAAGATTAATATCTATTCTATATTTATAGGTTTATGGCGTTTCGCCGACTTTAGTTGATAGTATCCTACCTCAAGTAATTCAAACAGTAGCTGAGGAATTGTATAGATTGATGTCTTGTGTACAAAAATTTAATTTATATGGTATTCAACAAGCTAGAGCCGACATAGGCTTTCTACAAAGCATGTTTTCTAGCTACCTTACACCAAAGGCCAGGTAAATGCTTTTTAATATTATTTTTATGTACTTATTTACTCACAACCGATTTTCGAAAAATGCTTATGCAGGAATCTTTAAAACCGAAAGCTTTAGATTATTCTTTCTTAATTTCTATTTTAACACTAATACTAATATGTACCTTTATTTTTTAATTTATTAGATAAGTCATTAAAATACATTGTTGCATAGTAAACGTAACTTCTTTGTCCAAATATTAACATGTGTGTTTAAATAAAAATTACACAAACTTTTTAAATTAATTATTAACTTTTCAGTACATTTTTTAAAGAAGCGTTGGATGCAATACCACAGTTAAAAAATGGAGAACAAACGTAAGTTTTAACTTTGAATTGTAAATAGTTGTTTTTAAAAATTGTTGTGCTTTTAGGATTGTAGAGGATGTTATTGCTAAGAGTTCAAAGAAGATGAAATTACAGGCATTATGTCTAATAAAAACCGAAAACAACATAACATTGTGATGCTAGTGATTTATTACTTTTTTACTTCAAATAACGTTTACGTTTACTTTTCTTTCAATACTTCGGCGTTTATTAACATATTAGGTAAATAGTTATGTACCTATACTTGTTTGTTTTAGTTTATATAAATTTTTCCAATTTCAAATGTAATAATTACCTCTATGCATATTTGTACACATAAATATTTATTTTATCTTTACTTTATAATAATTTTACTTTTGTTTATATTGTAAATATGTAGTAATTTATTTTGT